AATATACTTACCTGTAGCAGAGCTCTGCGTGGACTACGTCATCTATTTAAATATTAGATACCCATTCATGAATTTGTAGCTGATCCCAGTTTCGGCTTTTCTTCTCAGACCCCTGTAGTAATTAAACGAATAATCTGATTTGGTAATGAGACGCTTATTGATATACATTAGTACAACATTGTTGTTGCTTCAATGCTCCTCTATTGTTCCTCGTGAATGAGGAACAGTCAACGTCTCTCAACACAGAGAGGGTTTCCTTGTCCAATCCGATCTGAACGTGCACCAACTCTCCCCATTTACTTTATTTGACAGACATGACAGAACTAAATCACCCTGGGTGTTTTAGAATTTGCAAGCCAGGGAAGGGTTTACCTATGCCCCTCGTCCTATATTAGCGTGTGAGTACTGGTTAGACAGTCTTGTGTTCTGAGCCCTCCTTCTCTTCTGAAAGGTCTGATGACCCATTCATCAAAAGTTACTTATCAAAAGTGTACATTTAAACAGCACATTTTTGTGAAATGATGCTAATTTGTGCGGGTTAAAAACTTAATATTGAATGCAACGCCCGAATGAATTGTAGTAAATTTGGTACCGTATATTATCTTGATAATTGAACAACCTGCAAACTTTCCATAACAGCCAAATTGTTTTCTTAATTCAATATATTGCTAGAATTAGGCTCAACGTCTGGTGCCTGTTTCGAATTGGTGAGCACACAGGCGTGTGCCGCGTAGTTGTTCGTGATGACGGTTGAGGTACTCGCTTCTTCTACTTAATTAGCTTTAGGCAAGCTCAGTTTTCGCAGACTTGGATGTTTTGCTTGTAAATTCGGAGAAATTTAACCAAGTATGACTGAAAATAACACAATGTAGCTTCTTGCAGTTGTTTATTCAAAAAATTCAACCGGCATGGATGGAACAAGTCCTCTCTCGTATTTCTCGTAGCCCAATCCATTTCAACAAGTTTTTTGACATTCTTGTTGATTTTGTGGTGTCAGAAAATCACCCGGAGTGGTGCAACCGCGCACTTCGTTGGCTGACCAGAATTTTCGAAAGCCCGGAGTTGGCAGACATGACTAAGCAGTCCCAATCTTCCCTGTGTCGATTTTTATCGTTTGCTGCAGAAATGCATGGTCTTCATCAATTATTGGGTACAGTGGTGGAAATGATTGATGCTTCGCCCAAAGTCGCAGAACCCACATCCAGAAATTTTCATTTACCAATATATGACACGGGATACGTTTTCATTGATGGTATGCTGCTCTAAATAGCTTTTTATTTTGATAATTTGATACAATTCATCCACGCCACGCCTTTCGCTTTTCTTGGAGACTGTATAATCTAGATTTTGTACCAAGCTGACTCTTTTGAGTCTACTTTGGGACTTGGTTTTGGATTTACTTCCTTATAAACCGATCACATCTGGTCTCCATTGCCGTTTACGATGTTGCGTATTCTTTGTTTCCCATAGTTTTTTTGGCCAATAAAACCTGCAAAATCCTAGGGTCGATAATGAATTTTATGCATTCTACTTTGGCATGCAGGTTACGTAGGTTATCTGCAATAGGGCAGTTGTTCTATTAAACAATATAAGTGATTCCAAATCTAGGGTTCTGCTATTGTACCGTACATATTTGTTTACAGATCAGGAAGTGAACTTCGGTATCCCAAAGAAGAGATCTCGACGTAATAAAATTGGCGTAGAACTGGAACAAGACGAATGTGGTCAATCGTCTCTTTTAAGCAATGAAGGAGACAGCAGCGTCTCAGACGATTACGAAGAAGGTGAAGAAGCCCTAGCGGTTTCCGAAGATGATGGGGTCTTCGATGTAGACAATGGATCGACTTCCTCCCTTGCAGAAAGTCAGGTATCTAACACGCTTCCACGGCCACAAGCTTCTGTTGATTACGCTGATAACAGTGATAGTAGTAGTGAAGAGGAGGAAGACAACAACGTTGAGAATGATGAGACTGGTTTAGAGGTTTGACTTTTTATTTATCATCTACCGCATACCCTACATGAATCTAGGATGACGAAGAAGAGGAGGGAAGTAGAATGGACTTGCCTCCCCAATCAGGCGGGGCGGAAGAAGAACGAGAGGAAGGTGGTGACGGCGATGTTTCTATTCCAGTGAGTAAGGGCGTCCATCAGGTTCGGCGATCCGCACGGATTCGGAATCGACGTTAAAGCTAGTTCCCGAAAATGCTCACCTTTTTGTACAGGTGCATAAATAAACTGTTGACGAAGAACTAGTGCCTTCAACGAGGTCTTGGGACATTGAAGCGTCGGCTTTGTGCTCCAGGGGTCCGGTACAGAGGCCACAGTGGCGGGCTTTACAGTGCGGGTTGGTGCCTAGGTTGGGTGGTTGTGTCGCGCAAGAAGCGATGCCTTTCCCATGCGTTGGTGGCCGATTCCCAGGTGGAGTGCAGCATTGGAACTTGTCCAGCCCTGCAAGTGAAGCGAACAGTGTTTGTTTTATTGCTACAGGGAATCCTATTTACCTAAAATTAAAAGATATGGGTTGGGAATTGCATACCGCTTTTCGTAGACAAATTAAATTAATGTTGGGGAACTACGTAGGCGGCACAGAAGTCAGCAATCAATTTTGAGTACAAGTCCACGCATGACAAGATATAGGAATGGAACTCAAAGAAAGTAAAACTTTTCTTATTGCAAGAAAAAGAATTTCTAGGTCATGAGACTAGTCAAAAGCTACCTAAACAGGCACCTTGAATCAGTGGTTGGTTTGCAAGGCATCTATTATGAACAGTTTAAGAAGGCTATAAATATTCGTTGTAAGAACTGTAATGTTTCATGCATAACTCATTTTTCCAAATTCGGGCCATTCTGACATTTTCATATACTGACTCAAGGTCGTCGAGGGGCTTTTGTGCGTAATTTATGCTTTAGTGTGTTCAAATTTGGTAATTTTTCTTGTCAAATATACTGTTTCCCTGCAATTTCTTAACTGCTGCAGCTTTTTGTCTTTTCTTCTTTAATATTGACATTTAAGTGTGCACTTGTAATTTTGTTTGTTTGTGAAGGCGTACCCGCTTCTCACAATTCGATACTGTTTTATGAAGCAAGATGGGCGAGAATATGGACGCTTCTAGTCTATCAGAGGAAGCTCGTACTTTGTCCAACTTGATCCGCAAACATCGCGGCCGAATTGTCATTTATACCGGTGCTGGAGTAAGCACTGCTGCGGATATTCCCGACTATCGCGGGACCCACGGACTCTATCGCAACTCAAACCCTTCAGGTAGTTTCACTTTAGTTTGACTTAAATTCCACTAGGCCGGAGGATAATTAGTACCAAACTTCGGTTACCAGAAGCAAGCTTTGCTAAACCGACATTTACTCACATGGCTATATGTGCTTTAGTTTCTCACGGCTACGTGAGTCATTTTTCTTTTGCTACAAAATTCTTCCTAAAATGACTTTGCTCACTCGTCTTTTTGTATTCTCCTAGGTGAGGCACGTCGTCTCTCAAAACGTTGACTGTCTACATTTACGAAGCGGACTTCCGCGAAAAAATCTATCGGAATTACACGGAAATCTTTTCATTGAGGCATGCTTACTGCAAAACCTAACTGTTCTTTTTAGCAATGTCTTTCATGTAAAAAATTGACGCACCGCGCCTTCGACGTCGCCGAAACTACTGCAAGGGCCAGACATCTGACTGGTCGTATTTGTCCCTTCTGTTGTGACGCCCCTACGTTCTCATCCTTGCAAAGATCAATCGCCCTTGAAACGCTTAAAATTCTAGTTGAAAAGAAGAAAGCTTCCAAGGACGATTCCGTAGCCGCTGTCCATCAAGCAGCTCAGAATGTCTGCAAAGATTACGGTCAGTGTATCATGAATCTCTCATTTATTTCGCTAGTTAAGATTTTGTATTATGATTCCGCCCTGTTTTGTTGCCTCGATACTGCTTTTCGTGTGCTGTTTGAATTTGAAAATCAACTATCGAATTTACGCCTTTGCCTCTTCGTCTACTTACAGCATTTAAGTAGAGTTTTATTTTAAATCTGAAACAGAGAAAATAGGTTATTCGGAATCAGGGTAGGATGAACCAACTAGAAGCAAGACGTAACGTTGTAAACTTTGGCTGCATCGCGAAACAGTGTTTGAGATGTGTTCCTCTGAATTGTCTTCTCCACCATCTACAGTTTTTCCACCATATTTCTTAGTCAAATCTTTACATTTTTATTGGTTACTTTCTTATCTCCACCATTAGTTTTTTTGGCAAAGAAGTTTTGACGTAACCCTTTTGTTTTGCTTGCCGAATCGCGTATCACGGCTTGTCAAACACTTTTAATATCTTGGTAGCGCCTTCTCATTGTTGTGATTGGATAGTTTCACATGTCTTCTCTCCCCTTCTTTCTCGGCAGAAAAATAATTGTAAGCTGGAGTCGAGTGATTCACCGCACTGTAGTTCGCAGTTCATTATGAGTATGCAAGGGTTGGAGACAAAGCTTTCGAACATTCACTTTGAGGGAAGCAATTTATTTGTTTTAACCTGAAGTGTTTTGTCTTCGTTATTATTCCGTGCATCACTAAACCTGTTTCGTGGCTGCCATTATGGGAGACAGGGAGGCTCATGCGTTCTTCAAATACGCCCATGATGGGAATTGAAATATATCCGTAAAAGTAGCGAAAAAGTCGTCTCAACACAAACTGACATCCATTTTTCCTTCATATCTGACGCACTTGCTCATCCATTGACTTCCGTCGCCCCATAGATCCCATATAGTGGGAATTTTAGCTACCACACTCATAGCTGAGCATAATTTTTCGCAAAATCTCGTGTAATTTTCGGCTTTTGCCTGTGGTAATGTCACGAATGTGACATTTCTGGTCATGAACTTTCTAACGACGCGTTCGTTGGCCATGTTGTAACTTATGTCCTTGTTAAAAAGTTCATGCTTTTTGGTAATAAAGGCTGGCCAAACCCCTAAGCATAGTTATGCAAAGGGGGCAACATTGTGTATCTTGATGATGCCTTAATTGCGGTATCTTTAGCCCCGACTGCAGTTTGGGCGCAGTTGTCATATAAAATGGACTTAAGTCATGCATTCAGGCGATATTTTTCCTCTGAGATGCCTACATTTGTCAGTTCTTCTTGCTTCTTTAACAGTCAATGAACGCAGTTGCTTGCATAAAATATCGAGTGGAAAGGAGTACATATTGCAGGGATCCAATCCCCTAATCATTTTGAGAGGGCGATCAACCTCTCCTTTACACAGCATAGTCGATTGTGGCAGCAATGACATCAAATAAAGCATTAATGAAGAGAGAGGAGAAGAATCAAGATATGATTCATGTGTGTTCTTCCAGCCATTGCTTGTCCACCAGTATAAACACCATGCGTATATATGCACTTACCAATCACTGTTTACTAGTAAGCTAAGGCCATTTTTATTACCTCCAGGCTACTTCGATACGATAATGAGTCGGCTTAGTCTATCCGTTGGTGGTGAACGTTGCAGCAGTCAGAATCTCGGGATTAGTGCTTAATTGGTCCCCTGGGATGTGTCTGCGTTTATGCGTCGTTTATTGTAAGAAATCGCGCGAAATGCGTCCAGGGATTGTCTCTTAAACCGTAATCGCCATTTAGAACTTATCCGGTGCCATGAAAGTGACGAAAACAGCAAGCGTAGAGATGGCCGATTTCACTAGCACTGGTGTGAGATTCTGTGCATTTAGAGAAATTTGAAAGACTTGCGCGGTTGTATGCAGGAGTCAGGTCAAAGCCCTCTTTGGCGTATCGTCTTCGAGGCTCAAATGATTCTCCAAGTAGGCTCATTTGTAGTTTGTCCGTCTATCTGGAAATCGTCCATTAGCTAATCCATTGTCTTTTTCAGTTCAAACTCTCTGTGATCTATAACCGACTATCAAGTTGTCCTAATAAATTCCAGTTCACACAATGTTCTACATTTCCCCTCCCAACATTCCTCCTATACCGTCCACTGGAAAATCATCATCAATTCGTCATCCGACTTCTTGAATTACAGCTTGCAAAGGACGACGTTTTCCCTTGCTTCCAACTTGATAGGCTAACTTGGAGGTCTACTAGCAGTTCATGGATTAGCCCACCGACTGTCCAGTCCACTTACTGATTGTATTCTTCTCCTCCTCCTCT